ATAATAACAATAATAATAATAAAGAATTAATTAAAGAAATAAAGAATTTCATAAATATCAAATTGACTTGAAGCAACAAAAATTTTATAACCTTAAATTTATCATCATATTTGTCAATTCACTAGAGAGCGTAGAAAGAGAATTCCCATTTGAATAGTAATGAAAAGGATGGACTAAAATCATAAAGTAATTTACTCATAACCGAATCCTATCTGTTGAAATTAATTTCGACATCGGTCTGTCTTGTTAATCTCTCCACCCTTGACACGACCAATAACCTTTTGACATCAAGAAGTGAAAGCTCATTGACCCTTTCTATATTCGTACGGAACATGTTTGATCGAGAAATTCACACAAGATTTATTAGAACTATCTATTAAAATATATCTATCAAGTTCTTCTGCAAGTAATTTCGTTTTAAAAGAAAAATAATAATACTTACGCTTACTTTTAATTAATAAAGATTTTATATTAATTCATTTAATCTTATAAAGATTTTGCTACTTTATAAATAGTGCAAAATAGACGATTTTGTATGAAAAAAAATCTATAATAAATTTAATTATTCATTTATTTTTTTGCAAAAAAATGATAGCGAAGTTATCGAGTATTATCTTAATAAAAATTCTATGATATTGTTTCAAGAAATGAAATGATAAATATATATTTGAATTTATTTCACCCAATAATCCATAAATTCAATATTCTAATACTAATAAATTTCTCCATAATAAAACCCAAGATATTGATAAAAAAAAAAAAAAGAAAAAAAATTCGTACCCAAACCAAAAGAAACAAGTTCAAATATATCGCAATATATCTCGCAAATTTTTTTTCATACCTTGAAATAATACGCACGGTTCGAATTAAATATTGTCAAAAAAGAAATGGCGCCTATTCTCGTCGTCTTACCCGGTCCCGATACTCGCGTTTCTGCAAAAAACTTTTATGCGAGATACGTATCTGCGAGGGTGGAACTTATTTACCTGGCACACAGAATTCCTGGGAGACTGCAAAGGGGTAGTTCCATGCATTTTAGAGACGGTCGGGACTAGCTGAATAAACTTCTACCTGAATTTCGTTGCTGCGTGAGGATATTCCTTCCCCTCTTATTGTGAATGCCCGATACCTCTCCTCGCGTAAATTGAATTTATCGCAAAATATTTCGTCAAACCTTCCATCTCCCTTCCTTCTCTCTTTCTTTCTCTAACCATTTATGGGTGAACCATTGTTACGAACGAAATTTTAGGCAAATCGAATTGAACGCCTAATTGAGTGCCTCTGCTATCTGACCTATCAATCTTATTATACGAATTGGAAATGTAAATTATCTTCTTTATATACGAAGTAAGTAAAAAATTGATTCATCGAATAGTTCGTATCAAAATCTTTTTCAATTTTCCTAAAAGTAAAATAATTTTAAAATCTTTAATTCATATTCGAAATTATTCCATTATATATACACAATATTATAAAATATAATTATATTGCAGAAAGATTACAATCAAATCACGAAGCAGATCTTAAAATTGAAGTCGAATAAAAATCGTTTTTGTTAACAAGTTTCGATTATTACATTAGAAAAATATTGTTTCCAAAATTCTAATATTCGTTAATATGCGTTATTTTCTAGAAAAAAGGAAAAAAACCAAAACGAATTCTATTCTAACTGAACGAGAAATCGCATTTGATGAGAATTAGATAGAATGATATCTGTGTGAAGAATCTGGTTATACGAACTTGTCCTCCCACAAATTCATATAAACAGAGTTCTACGATACGATATATTTCACCGTCGTGTTTTGTCGTGCAGTAATGGAGGCCGGGGAAAAAAAGTTTTCACGAGACGACGTAACGAGTTTCAAGTTCGAGTGTATGGAGTTACGTCCTCGACACCCTGTGCGGCGTATGGCCACGTGAAAAATTGATGGATCATGATGGGGGCGTAGAGACGTTGTTTATCACGCCGTTAAAAAAAAAAGAAAAAAATGTTTTGGTCGTTGCATGGATGCACGCGTTTCTATTCAAGGGAGAAAGTTGATAGGTAAGGGATGTTGGGGTCGTTTCAAGCGTGAAGTTCAAGCTGAAGTGGCTTCAAAATTTGAAATCTCTCAAGAAGTATTTCGAGTATTTCGAGAAATTAATTTCAAGTAGAAAAAGTACATGTATATTTCTTTTGGAAATATCAGAATGAATATCAGGATTCCTATTTAAAGGATTATATTATATTTGCATGTAATATATTATAGTATATTTTCTATATAGTTAATCTTTTATAGATAAAAATAATTGAAAGAGAAATTGAAATTAAGAACTGAGAGAAACGAGTCTTAAATATATATAGATATATTACGTAATATATATATGTATAATAAAATATATAATTCTATTTCAATAATTTGCATTAATCATATTTTTACAAGAGTTTTTTCTGCCGAAGTTTGATTATCAATTTAACGAGACGTAATATTTATTATGTCTTATTTTGATAAGGTTGGAATTAAATTTAAATTAAGAAGAAACGATATAAAATAAATATTCCTAATCTTTCTTTTTCTTTTTTAATTGGATTCAACTACCGATGAAATTGAATTCGAAAATTTGAATTGAGATTCGTTTGAACAAATCTTCTTCTAATATAGAATTAACGAAGTTTTCTAAGAGGTTCGAAGTCTTTTAAAATTCTATTACGCTTCTTTTTAATGGTTAACTTGTCATCCGAAATAAGAACTTGGCAAATATCGTTAATGTTCAAGTTAGATAACAGTTACGATAATTTTTGTCAAAGTAAAATAATTTCGCAAAAAATGAAATGAAATCTGAGAGAATTCTGTTGTTATCGGCCTTTCTTATTTTAAGATTACTTTAAGATTAAAACACATTTTCTAGGAATTATTTGAAACAATTTTACATCGTTCATTTAAAATTTATCATTCAATGCGATACTGATATCTTTGAAAAAAACTTGGAAAAAAAACCGATGATTGTTTATCTGTTTATATTTATAAATCTTTTATCGGTTTACAAAAATAAAAATAAATAAAATATATGCAATATTTGATATCATCCACGAATGATATTGGCTTCGATTTGTAAATTATTAATATTATATCATACTTTAGATATTAAATATGTACGATATATATAATCACTTCTTTTCAAGTAAAAATATATATTTATCAACTTTTTTTTTGTTTGTAAAAAAACATATCTTTGTATTAAAAAAAATTATACAATATATATCTTTTTTATGATTTAATGACGAGGTTGTAGATTTTGTGTAGAGAATTTTAATGAACCATGTCTTATTTTCATTATTTCTCTTCTGTTATTTCCTATATTAAAAGAATTAAAAATTTTTCGTGTTCAAACAATAAATCTTTGCAAATGAATTAAGACGAATTTCTGTTTTAAAGAAGAAAAAATTTGAAAATTTTAAACACGCTCTTTAAAACAGAATTCTCAATGATGATAAAGCCACCTAAATTGTAGCCGAAAGAAATTGTTTATGATAAAAAAAGGATCGTTGCTTTTCCTCTTATGAGATTCTCAGAAGCTATCAAAAATTTTTGCCAACGCGAGCGTGTCATTTATCTTTTAATTCGCCGATCTCATAGAAAGTCATTTTTTTGTGATTAAAGAATGAAATGTTAGTTCATTCCATAAAAGGTCAACATTTTTCTTTGATAAAATTACTTCATCACTTTATCAACTCTCTTCTAATCAATAATAATCCCTTCTCTAATCCCTCTCAACAATACTAATATTCTAAATATTCTATCTACTTTTGAGCTAAATTTTCTTCTTTTTGAGAATCTTTTTGAAAATGATAGAAATTGTAGCTCAAAATTCTGTTAATCTTTGACATAAATGATACAATAAAAACAAATAATTAATCGAAATATTATTCAGGATTTATAATTTTATGTATAATTAAGAGAATAAATTATATATATATATATATAATTAAAATCTGAAAATTATTTAATCAGAATATTATCTAATTATTTATGAACGATTAACAAGATTGAAAATTAAAATCAATCGTTTCATGTTTTTAATTTATTTTTAAATTAAAATTTTTTTTTCAATCAACAAAATGATCGAAAGAAATCTTTAAAAAATAAATTTTCATTAAATAAAGTTAAGGATAGGATTAAAACCATACTTCAAGTACAATGGAGCATGCTACAACGCGGCAACAATGAATGGGGATTGTTCTGACGATTATTATATTACTTTCAATTAAATTTTTCTTGCCTAAATCATCGTACTGGGTGCTAACTTTGTTGTAGATAGCGAGCACGAAACATTTCGAGCCTAATAGGATGATACATCTTCAAGTAATTTTTAAATACTGATTGTATATTTGTTACAACTTTTTTTTCTTTTAAGATTACACATTCTATTTCGAGAATTAGACTCAGCTTGCTCTTTTTCTACGTTCCACAATAGCGCAATATTATGCATTTATTTATTAAAAACAAAATTCGTAACCCCAAAAGGGTTAATATCCATAATAACGAGGTTTTGAAACTAATTATTTTGTTGTAGCATATTCCACTGTATAAAGTTAACCCTTTCACAATGAATCTCCGAGAGAAACTGAGCCAAACTGCAAACAATAGTTACACAAATTTCGGTATTTGAAATGTACGTGTAACGCAATCATTAAAACTTGCCTGATATGAACTTCAAAAAAGAAAAAAAAAAATTCGATTACGAAATAATAATATATTTTCCAAATCTTTTCTCATAATATATATATATACTCGAAAGAAAATGAGTTTCAAAAATTTCGATCGTACAAAAATAACATAATTATTATTTTATTTTATTATTATTCTGTTCGAAATTTTTCTTCCAGCGATATTATCGTAAAGGGAGAAAAAGAATTTTGGGGAGACGAGTATTATTATATTCGTGTGTGCGTGTGTGTGTGCATGTGTGTGTGTGTGCGATCGTACATCTCGAAGGGTCAGAACGTTAGGGGTACTTACGGGCCGATTCGGTAACCGCGAAAAATAGGAAAAGGCAGGCGAGGGCCGTCCCCATGAGTCGTGGTGGATGCCCCATGACAATCCTCCGGTTAGCCAGAAGAGTCTCGAGTTATATGTATCACTCTCGGCACAATATCAGCTGGGACACGATGCGGCCACGAGAGAAACACCACAAAAGCATCGATGCTTTTCTTCGTGCGTGCTTTTATGCTCTCGCGGCCCCCCTCTCCCGGCTCGCCTGTCCACGATGGACATTGGCATACGGTATGTACTCTATTCATCACGTTGACACTGAGATAACGAGATCCAGCGGCGGGTCGTATAACGAAACGAGTGAACGCGTGATGTTTGTGTCAAGTTTTCTTCGACGTTCGTAGAGTCATGGATTTAGAGCGTTATAGTTACGCGACAAATGAGTAATCGATGCGATCAACGTTAACGCGAATGTTTTCTAAAGCGATCACGAAATTAAAGGTAGTAGAAATTTCGTAAATTTAAAATTCATTCTATGAGAGTAATAATAAGAATTCGTTGGTCGGTAACGAAATTGGCGAAAAACCTTAAAAATAATTGTAACTCGCAATAGTGTAAATGCATAGTAATCGTGGATTAAATTAAAAAAAAAAAGAAAAAAAAAGAAATGGAAGTTGGAGTTATTGTTTTAAAATATTTTATAACTCACATCATTAATTAAAAAATTACATAGAAAGATATTTCTAATAATTTCAATTTAAAATTGAAATACTATTGTTGCTATCAAAGTGTATATAACATGTATATCGATGAATTTGTTATGGGATTTAAATTATATTAGTTACATTAAATTTCTTGTCGTTTAAAAACACTTTTATACAATTACAAAAACAAAATATAGAATTTAAAAAAGATAGACGTGTATATATACGTATTAGCATTTTTGTTGCAAAAGAAAAAAAAAGAGAAATGAGTATTACGTTACTAATAGACAAGACATAAGCGTGAAACGACACGAGGGATGACTGTATACCACTATCTGACACCGTGCACGTTCAGAGGTGTAATCCTTTGTGCTCGAACAGCTGATCGTTCCATTTTCGTGTAATTTATCATTATACTATTACTATTCGTCATTCGTTCGCCATCGTGCACAAACTAGTTTGAAGAATGATTACGAGTTCCTAGGTGTTGTTTTTTTTTCTTTTTTTTTTTTTTTTTTTTTTTTTTATTTGGGAATGAAAGAGGCCGAGAGAACGATCGTAATGGGTGATTTAGATGGCTTTGGTACGACGGTTTTGGGGTGCAGGTGTTCCGTGGGCTGGAATTTTATGGCCTGGTTGGGGTAGGGGAAGTAGATTGCTCGGTCGCTCGTGGAGGAATGAATTTTGTTATTTTTCCGGGTGCGATTAGCGAGGAGAATTATTGGAAAATGGGGAATTGTGCATGTTGTGATAGAGTTAAATTTCTGATAAAAGATTTCTTATAAGATGAAATGTAAAATATATATTGAAGGGATAAAGATATTTTAAATATTTAATGTAATGTAGGGAAATAAATAATATTCAATAATAATTAAATAATATTCAATAAATAATATTCAATTATCACAGCAATATTATATTAATATTATGATTTAATTAATAAAAATCATTTATTGAAAATTAATAACAATATTATGGTATTGCGGAACATTGTTGAGTCGAGCATTCATGAATTAATTGGATACTTCAAAGACCGGATATATACATATGATTTTCTCTCGTCGAAACACTTTTTTTCTTTTTGTATATCGTTATAAAGAGCTGATTAATTTCTTCAGAAGATCCTTCAGAAATAATATCCGATAATCGATAACCATTTCAATAACGTTGCAAATTTATATTTCATAGAACATAATGAATGATTCATTTCCAAACAAAAAGATAAACGATGATTTCGACCTGCGCTAATCTTGAATGAGTGAACTGACTTGTGCCGTTGATAAGTTTAATTTTCTCAATCGCTAAAATCATTTATATAATTCATTCGGGATGATACGTATATTATCAATCTTTATCGCTATTTACATTTGTACATTAATTCATATGTTATGACATAATGGAATATTCTTGTTTGACATTATATAATTTCAAGGGCGATCGATAAAAATTTAATGTAGGTCAGAATCTTTAGATGTTTTTTAATAAGATATGAAGTGATAGTTGAATAATTTTTCAATTAGTGATCTTGAAACGCGTTAACTTTGAGCGCGATGAAATATTATTACTAGAATTTTCATAAAAATGAAATTTTTTTTTTATACAAATGTACAAAGACATTTTCTACACATTTGTTACATGAATCTCAATATAAAGAACTAATGAAATTAATCTTTCTTCCAAACTTCAATTAAAAAAAATAAAATCTTTGAACGCAATTTTAACATGCAATATTTATATATATATACTTTTTATCTTAAAACGTTCTTTAATTAAAATATTATATAACAAGTTCAAAAAAATTCCTCTTGTTAGATTGAATAAATCAGATCTGATTTTAAATCCTTATAGAATTACATAGAGTTGAAAAATAAAAATGTAGAACATTTTTTTATATAAGATATTTTAACTTGAAAAAGGCTTGAAACAAATCATGAGTAAACATCAATTCTGTAAAGTAGTTACAATGGAAGATTTTATGAATGAAATCGTGACCTCTACAGGATTAAATGAACACCATAATTCCCTTTGACCTTTCTTTTCCTTATGTAACAACGTTCCCTCCTACGTAGGATTTTCTTTCCTTTTTTTTTCTTTTTTTTTTCTATCTTCTTCTTCGTCTTTTTTTCAAAAGAAATCGAAATAGCGTAACAGATAGTGAACGAGGCTTAGAGATGTAAGACAATTTCCCAACTGTTTCAAGCATAATTGCATTGCATCGGGCTGGAACAGGCGGGAATCGTCGAAAGAACTTCGTTAATCTTCGGCTAAAGAAATCCAGTTAAAAGCGAACTTTTTTGCATAATTCATCATTAATTTATCAAAGGCTCCGTTTAACATTGTAATACACCTTTTCTTTCTTTTTTCGCTTCCTATCTCCTCCTTTTTTTTTTTTTTTTTTGCCTTATACCGTGGAGTCGTCTCGTAGTCTGTAATCTGAAAAAAATGTACATTTAATTTTTTCCAAATGAAAAAAATTTCATTGACATCAACTTTTCACGTGTAATTAGTGTTTAATTAATTTATCAGGTTATTTCGAATTTTTTTTCACTCTCGTTTTAAAAAGAAATAATTCCATGTCTGCATGGAATTTCGATGTAATTTCTCGTTGAATAAAAATGAAAAATATTTCAGAAATTAAATCACAATATAATAGTATCATGATCAGGAGTGAATTGGAGATGCAATCATAAACAGTAGTGAATTATCGATGAAATTTATTAAAAGCCTACTGAGTTATATAGTAAATATAAAATATTTAATATTTATTAGATTACAATGAAATTTTAATATTTTTTTCAATATTTGATACAATAAGATCCTAAATTCGTTTTGTTCATTTTATTTTGATATATTGAAATGAATAATAATTATAAATTTCCCTTGTAAAATCTTGTCGAATAATCGTAAACAGAAGTAAATATCACTTTTTTTTTAACTTTTGAAACTCATTCCACAAATTATAAAAGTCATAATTAAATTTGAAATTCAAAAAAATTTTATTAAAATATGAATGCAATTTATTCAATAAAAATTTATATAAATATAAATATGTATAAATATATCAAAAATACCTTGAATACGCGACTAAGTGAATCTAATCTACCGATAACCCCAGTCTTATTTTTTTTTAATAATCATCAGTTCAAATATAGAGTATTTATACGACTTGAGTTTCGATTTATTTCCACCAGTCTTTCATCGATCGATCCATTATTGAATTATATTTTATTTTTAAAAAGATTCTTATAAAATATTATTTATTTTAATATTGAATATTGATAATAGAACATTGATTGTTTTAAGGAGAATACATCATTTGCTGCAAATGATATAACCTATTTTTGAATTATTAATTTATTAAATTATTAAAAAAAAAATAAGTTGGAAAATATCGTAAATCAATTTTTAACGTGATCATATTTTGATCTTCATATTTGTTTTTATAACAAATATATATTTGTCTTAAAATCATTATTTTTTTATTATGTCAATATTGAAATAAATATATATATATAGCTGCGATTATTTTCATTTAAAGCGAATATATCTTATCAAAATTGAAATTAATTATAATTTATGATGCAACCTTTCAAGATCTCAAAGAAGGTTTTTTTTTATTTTTTCTTAAATTCCAATTTTTTATAAATATTACTAAAAATACTTCCAAAATGATCATAGTTTATTTTATACAGTTGATTCAAATATTATTCAAAAATTTTTCTTAGATATTTAAATCGATATAAAAAAAAATCTTTTAAATTTTTTTTTTCCATTGTTGACGAGAAATTTGATTATTATACTGATGCATCTAGTGCTCTTTAAAAGTGATGATACATCATCTAATAAAAGTGAAATCGATTCATTTTCAAATAAATATTTAAATATCTATATTTCCGAATTTATTTCGATTTAAAAATCGATAATGTGTCGTATTCTTCGAGTCACGAAAAAAATTTGTCACACAAAGTATCGTTGATTTTAGAGGAAAAATAGGATTTGCTCGTATCAATTTCGATCAATTGAACATACGTGAACGTTCGACGCGTAAACATGGCCAAAGATAATTAAATGAGACAGACTCGGGCAAATTTGAATGGAAAATTATCAGTAAACGAATTACTCATTGGTTTGCAGTGGCGACGATGACAATGTGGAAAGTAACGGACTTTAACTAGCAAACACATCGCGATAATGCCACCAGTATCCGTATGTTATAAATGCAATATAAAATTCCTCATACATCTAACATATATATATATAACATGTATACTTTATTACTTATAATTCCATTTTATTAATCATTATTAATCATTATTTTTAATAATAATAATATTCTTATTATATGATTCACTTTTCTTATTAAAAAAAATTCACTCAACAATAATTACAACAATTTATTCACCAATTCTCATGTACAATTGTCATTTTATGATTCACTCTTTTCATTATCTATAGAAACAGAAATATTAAAACTTCTATCTAAC